TAGTCAAGACTATAGACTGGTCTATAGTCAAGACTATAGACTGGTCTATAGTCAAGACTATAGACTGGTCTATAGTCAAGACTATAGACTGGTCTATAGTCAAGACTATAGACTGGTCTATAGTCAAGACTATAGACTGGTCTATAGTCAAGACTATAGACTGGTCTATAGTCAAGACTATAGACTGGTCTATAGTCAAGACTATAGACTGGTCTATAGTCAAGACTATAGACTGGTCTATAGTCAAGACTATAGACTGGTCTATAGTCAAGACTATAAGACTGGTCTTTAGTCAAGACTATAGACTGGTATTTAGTCAAGACTATAGACTGGTCTATAGTCAAGACTATAGACTGGTCTATAGTCAAGACTATAGACTGGTCTTTAGTCAAGACTATAGACCAGTTGTCATATCTAAGGTTTATTACACATCAAGACAATTGACTGTTCTTAAATCTATAGTTCTTAATCTATAGTTCAGACTAAAAATTGGTCTATAGTTAAAACTATAGACAGGTTTATATTTAGGACTATAGACAGGTCTATAGTTAAGACTGTAGACAGATCTATAGTTAAGACTATTGACAGGTCTATAGTTAAGACTATAGGCAGGGGTATAGTCAGGTCTATAGTCAGTTCTATAGTCAAGACTATAGGCAGGTCTATAGCCAAGACTAAAGGTAGGTCTATAGTCAAAACTATGTATAGGCAGGTCTATAGTCAAGGCTATAAGCAGCTCTAAAGCTAAGGCTACAGGCAGGTCTATAGTCAAGGCTAAAGGCAGGTCTATAGTCAAGACTATAGGCAGGTCTATAGTCAAAACTATGTATAGGCAGGTCTATAGTCAAAACTATGTATAGGCAGGGGTATGGTCAAGGCTATAGACTGGTCTATAGTCAAGGCTATAGACTGGTCTGTAGTCAAGGCTATAGACTGGTCTATAGTCAAGGCTATAGACTGGTCTATAGTCAAGGCTATAGACTGGTCTATAGTCAAGGCTATAGACTATTCTATAGCAAGGCTATAGACTGGTCTATAGTCAAAGCTATAGGCAGATCTATAGTCAAGACTATAGGCAGATCTACAGTCAAGACTATAGGCAGATCTATAGTCAAGACTATAGGCAGATCTATAGTCAAGACTATAGGCAGATCTATAGTCAAGACTATAGGCAGATTTGTAGTCAAGACTATAGGCAGGTCTATAGTCAAGCAGGTTTATAGGCAAGGCTATAGGCAGGTCTATAGACAAGGCTATAGGCAGGTCTATCTAAAGTCAGGACGATAAATTGGTCTATAGTCATTACTATAGTCAAAACTATAGACTGATTCTATAGTCAAGACAATTATTATTACTGGTGTAATATTAAGGATAAGTTTATATTAAATTTCAAGGACATTATGATATGTATGTAGTTTTTATTTGTTAATTTAGGGTTTTTAGTTTAATTTATTTTTTCAGTTTAAAACTTATTACTAAATGTTTCTTAGGTTTTTCACATTACTAATAAAAAAATCAACTCTTTTTCGATGCGCTGAATATGAGATTTGTGTAGCTTATTTATTAGTGTTCAGTAGTTTTGTTATGTAATCATGGTCACCGCGACTATAGACTGCAACATCTTGCCTAAGAACTTCTTCGAATAACTCGTAATCAATGTTATCCAATTCAACTGAAAACTCTGTTCCCAATAATGGATTGTAGATTTTGAATTTTTTTACTTTGTTACCCGTTTTTTTATAGAAACCAAATCCATAGATAATCGTTAGATAAAATCTACTTAATGGTAAGTTCGACCCGTAATATGTAAGCGATTTATATTGAGAGGTCTTTATTTCATATATTACTTGATCATCAAATATCAAATCGGCATCTGCAGTAAAATAATCACAATCGAGCTGGGGATTTAAGATGACAGACTTATAGGGAACCTTTTCCAAATAATCTATAATTTCTAGCAAATTATCTTCGTTTACAGTATAATCACTTTGCGGTATATCGTGGCGAACTGATATTAGACTTGATAGTGATACAATTTTAATACTTTTAATTATGTCCATGGCCTTGGTATTGGGATCTTTAAAAATTTCATAATGCTCTTTAATTAAATTTCGCAATGTAAGATTTTTACCAATTATGTAATTACTTGGCGTTTTTAAAATCTTTTCGGTTATTGTATCCATTATTTCTATGTTAAATTGATTGGATAAATATTTTCTTATAAAATAATTCACAAAATATCCATGGGCTAAAAAATAACGATTTCTCTTTACATCTTCACTATATTGAAATGAGCTTCCAATTTGTCGTTCCTCGATTTTTGTATCTTTAACTAGAGTTTCGAAAAACTGCTTGACATTAGGAAAGATATCCAAACTTGTTAGTGCTACTCTAGTTGCTAGGGGTATTGTTGAAATTGATCTTTTTTCGAGCTCAAGGCGACTATAGACAGCAACATCTTGCCTAAGAACTTCTTCGAATAACTTGTAATCAATATTATGCAATTCAACTGAAAACTCTGCACCCAATAATGTATTGTAGATTTTGAATTGTTTTACTTTTTTACCCGTTTTCTTATAGAAGCCAAATCCATAGATAATGGTTAGATAAATTCTACTTAACGGTAAGTTCGACCCACACAGTGAAAGGGATTCATATTTAGACGTATTTATTTCATATATTACTTCATCATCAAATATCAAATCGGCATCTGCGGTAAAATAATCACAATCTAGTTGGGGATTTAAGATGACAGACTTATAGGGAACCTTTTCCAAATAATCTATAATTTCTAGCAAATTATCCTCGTTCACAGTATAACCACTTTTCGGTACATGGCGGTGAGCTGATATTAGACTTGATAGTGATACAATTTTAATACTTTTAATTATGTCCATGGCCTTGTTGTTTGGATCTTTAAAAATTTCATAATGCTCTTTAATTAAATTTCGCAATATCAGATTGTCACCAGTAATGTAATCACTTGGATTTTTTAAAATCTCTTCGGCATTTGCATCCATTGCTTCTATATTAAATTGATTGGATAAATGTTTTCGTATAAAATAATTCACAAAAACTCCATATTCTGAATTAAGACGCTTTCTCTTTACATCTTTACTGTATTGAAATGATCTTCCAACTTGTCGTTTCTCTATTTTTGTAGTTTTGACCAGAGCTTCGAGAAACTGTCTGACATTAGGAAACTTTTCCAAACTTTGTGTTATAATTATTGTTGTTGCAGGGGGAATTGGTAAAATTGACATGTTTTCGACAATTTTAAAGTTTATGAAATAGCTAAAAACTTAAAATTTTTAGTAAAATTTGTATATGAATTTTAAATAAATCAAATTTTACATTATTTACTTACCAGGTGGTTTAAAAACAGCTTATTTTTGCTTTCAAAACATGAAAGTATGAAAATGAAATAATTAAAAGTATAAATATAGAATTTTAGCACGAGCTGATAAAAAGACGTATAAATACTAAATGTTTGTATTGAATAATTTATCGCTGCACTTGTGAAATTCGACTTCTCGTATAATAAAGATTTGTACTCTTTCGCTCTCTCTCCCACTCCCACTCCCAGTAAGGAGAAGTTAGATATAGAAAAATTAACAGTCGTGTGAACATTTACTGCACACTTTCAAATAGAATTTTGCAGAACTCTTATAAATTATGTATAAATATTCGGATATTTCCCCAGTTATGCATGTATGTATGTGTAACAGCTGCTTAAATAAGTTCTTTTTTGCAGTTTGATTTAAAATTATATTATTTTTCGCAAATTTTTTAATTGGAATAAATCCAGTTTACAAACTCGACTACAGACATAGACTCGAGTCTATAGTTAAAACTAGTTTCAAAACTGATCTATACTTAAGACTAAGTTTTTGTCAAGACTATAGACTGGTTTAATGCCATGACTATAGATGGGTTTACAGTCAAGATTGTAGACTGTTCTGCAGTCAAGGCTATAGACTGGTCTATAAAGGCTGGTAACTGATCCATAGACATGACTATATACTGGCTTATAGGACATTAGACCGATAAAGACTATTGACTAGTCTTGGTTATAGTGTAGTCTTTAGTCTGGGCTAGTCTACATAACAGTCTATAGGCTGGAATATAGACAAATTTATAGACTGAAATATAGACAAAGCTATAGTCTGGACTATAGAACTGTCTATAGGCTGGACTACATAACTGCCTATAGGCTGGACTATATGACTGTCTATAGTCTGGACTATAGATTAGTCTATAGTCTGGACTATAGATCAGTCTATAGTCTGGACTATAGAACAGTCTATAATCTGGACTATAGATCAGTCTATAATCTGGACTATAGATCAGTCTATAGTCTGGACTATAGATCAGTCTACAGTCTGGACTATAGATCAGTCTATAGTCTGGACTATAGATCAGTCTATAGTCTGGACTATAGATCAGTCTATAGTCTGGACTATAGATCAGTCTATAGTCTGGACTATAGATCAGTCTATAGTCTGGACTATAGATCAGTCTATAGTCTGGACTATAGATCAGTCTATAGTCTGGACTATAGATCAGTCTATAGTCTGGACTATAGATCAGTCTATAGTCTGGACTATAGATCAGTCTATAGTCTGGACTATAGATCAGTCTATAGTCTGGACTATAGATCAGTCTATAGTCTGGACTATAGATCAGTCTATAGTCTGGACTATAGATCAGTCTATAGTCTGGACTATAGATCAGTCTATAGTCTGGACTATAGATCAGTCTATAGTCTGGACTATAGATCAGTCTATAGTCTGGACTATAGATCAGTCTATAGTCTGGACTATAGATCAGTCTATAGTCTGGACTATAGATCAGTCTATAGTCTGGACTATAGATCAGTCTATAGTCTGGACTATAGATCAGTCTATAGTCTGGACTATAGATCAGTCTATAGTCTGGACTATAGATCAGTCTATAGTCTGGACTATAGATCAGTCTATAGTCTGGACTATAGATCAGTCTATAGTCTGGACTATAGATCAGTCTATAGTCTGGACTATAGATCAGTCTATAGTCTGGACTATAGATCAGTCTATAGTCTGGACTATAGATCAGTCTATAGTCTGGACTATAGATCAGTCTATAGTCTGGACTATAGATCAGTCTATAGTCTGGACTATAGATCAGTCTATAGTCTGGACTATAGATCAGTCTATAGTCTGGACTATAGATCAGTCTATAGTCTGGACTATAGATCAGTCTATAGTCTGGACTATAGATCAGTCTATAGTCTGGACTATAGATCAGTCTATAGTCTGGACTATAGATCAGTCTATAGTCTGGACTATAGATCAGTCTATAGTCTGGACTATAGATCAGTCTATAGTCTGGACTATAGATCAGTCTATAGTCTGGACTATAGATCAGTCTATAGTCTGGACTATAGATCAGTCTATAGTCTGGACTATAGATCAGTCTATAGTCTGGACTATAGATCAGTCTATAGTCTGGACTATAGATCAGTCTATAATCTGGACTATAGATCAGTCTATAATCTGGACTATAGATCAGTCTATAGTCTGGACTATAGATCAGTTTATAGTCTGGACTATAGATCAGTCTATAGTTTGGACTTTTGATCAGTCTATAGTCTGTACTATAGGTCAGTCTATAGTCTGGGCTATAGATTAGACTATAGTCTGGACTATAGATCAGTCTATAATCTGGACTATAGATCAGTCTATAGTCTGGACTATAGATCAGTCTATAGTCTGGACTATAGATCAGTTTATAGTCTGGACTATAGATCAGTCTATAGTTTGGACTTTTGATCAGTCTATAGTCTGTACTATAGGTCAGTCTATAGTCTGGACTATAGATTAGACTATAGTCTGGACTATAGATCAGTCTATAATCTGGACTATAGATCAGTCTATAGTCTGGACTATAGATAAGTCTATAGTCTGGACTATAGATCAGTCTATAGTCTGGACTATAGATCAGTCTATAGTCTGGACTATAGATCAGTCTATAATCTGGACTATAGATCAGTCTATAGTCTGGACTATAGATCAGTCTATAGTCTGGACTATAGATCAGTTTATAGTCTGGACTATAGATCAGTCTATAGTTTGGACTTTTGATCAGTCTATAGTCTGCACTATAGGTCAGTCTATAGTCTGGACTATAGATTAGACTATAGTCTGGACTGTAGATCAGTTTATAGTATAGACTATAGATCAGTTTATAGTATGGACTATAGATCAGTCTATCGCTGGATTATAGACTAGTCTATAGTCAGGACTATGGACCATTCTGCGGGTCTGAATTATAGACCAACCTATCTTCTTGATTATATACAAGCCTATAGTCTGGACTATAGACGAGCCAATTGTCTGGACTGTAAATCAGTCTATGGTCTGGACTATATACCAGTCTATGGTCTGGAATAGAACAATATATTTTCTGGACTATAGATCAGTCTATTGTGTTGACTATAGATCAGTCTATAGTCTGGACTATAGATCAGTCAGTCTGTATTATTAGTCTATAGTCTTCCTAACGTACATGTATGGATATGTGTGAGTTTTAAAATACAATTTTTAAAAATATAAAGCTTTATATAGTTACTGGCTTACCCTGGGTGCTTCGCTATCCCAATCAAAATTAAATACAAAATTTAACTTAGGTTCACCCTCTAAACGTACTTACATATTTCGAAAATGTACCAGATCTATCAGTTCTTTTTAGGAGTAGATGAGGATGTATTAAAAATGTTTCTTTTATCTCAAGGAAATCTTTTTTATAAGTACTTCCCCCTTTTTACCCCAAAATCACTCCTTAGTGGATCTACATAAACAAACAAAAAAAAAAAAAAACTACTGTCAAAATTTCATGATTCTAGTTTCGGGTGATAATGAATCAGTCACTCAGTAACGTGGTTCTTTTATATATACATATACATATGTATAAAGATTATCCGTCAGAGAGACAGTGATAAACTTGCATGTAATTTTTAACCTTGACTTTGAATATTTTTTAAAAATAGTCGTTCAATCACTTAAAAATGTTTTTAATTCTAGCGACAACTTAACGAAAAAATAGTTTTGAGCTCAAAAAAATAAACTGGTTTTATACGATTTCATATAAACAAATAATTTGTTTATATATATTTTTTGTAGCATAGGTCAGTTAACTAATATGAAGCGGAATGTGTTTTAATTTTGGTTTGTTTTTAAATTATAAGTTATTTTTTTTGTAAATTATTTTGTTACAGTAAAATGGAGGAATATATTTCTGTTTTTAGAAGTGTAGTATACCATAGTATGGACTTTAGACTAGTCTATGAACAGCCTATAATCTGGACTATAGAACAGTCTATAGTCTGGATAGTCTGTAGTCTAGACTAAAGATCAGTCTATTGTATGAACTAAAGACCAGTCTATGTTCTGTACTAAAAAAAACAGCCTATGGATTGTATAGTCTGGACTATAGAACAGTTTATATTCGGAACAACAGAACAGTATACAGTCTATAGTCTGGACTACAGAACGGTCAATAGTCTGCACTAAAGTCTATAGTCTGGACTACAGAACAGTCCATAGTCTGGAGTCCAGAACAGTCTATAGTCTGTACTACAGAAACAGTCTATAGTTTGCACTATAGAGCAGTCAATAGTCAGGACAGTCTATAGCCTAGACTATAGAACAGTCTATAGTTTGGACTATAGATATGTCTATAGTCTGGACTATAGTCTGGACTATAGAACAGTCTATAGTCTAGACTACAGACCAGTCTATAGTCTGGACTGAAGACCAGTCTACAGTCTGGAATATAGAACTGTCTATAGTCTGAACTATAGAATAACTTATAGTCTGGACTATAGAACTGTTTACTGCCTGGACTATAGAACTGACTATAGTGTGGACTTTAGAGCTGTCTATTGTCTGGACTATATATAGAACTGTTAATAGTCTGAACTATAGACCAGTCTATAGTATGGACTATAAAGCTGTCTATTGTATGGACTATAGAACTGTTAATAGTCTGAACTGTCTATAGTCTGGACTATAGAACTGTCTATAGTCTGGACTATAGAACTGTCTATAGTCTGGACTATAGAACTGTCTATAGTCTGACTATAGAACTGTCTATAGTCTGGACTATAGAACTGTCTATAGTCTGGACTATAGAACTGTCTATAGTCTGGACTATAGAACTGTCTAAAGTCTGGATTATAGAACTGTCTATAGTCTGGACTATAGAACTGTCTAAAGTCTGAACTATAGAACTGTCTATAGTCTGGACTATAGAACTGTCTATAGTCTGGACTATAGAACTGTTTATAGTCTGGACTATAGAACTGTCTATAGTCTGGACTATAGAACTGTCTATAGTCTGGACTGTATAACTGTCTATAGTCTGCATAATTAAATTATAAATTATAATTGGGTCATAAAAATATGAAATTAATTAATTGTTCAAATAAATACATA